GGGTGGGAAGTATAGGCTTCCAGTTTGGAATGAGTAGGTCACAGAAATAAAAAGCACAGCATAAGGAATATAGTCAGTGATATTGTAATAGTGTTGTGTGGTGACAGATGGTAGCTACTCTTGTGGCGAGCATAGCTTAATGTTTACACTTGTTGAATCACTATGTTGTACACCTGAAACTAATGTAATATTCTGTGTCAATTATGCTCAAATAAAAAGTCTAATTAAAATAAAGTATAATAAAAATAAAGTATATTTGGTGTCGATTAGGGAAGCATCTGTCCTCTAAATCCTCTGTCTCATAGACATTTGTGGAGAAAACTCTTGTTTCCCTCTGCCTGGCTCCTTAGAACTGGAGCCTACCCTTGCCACATCAAGACTGGAAGAGTAACAGTCTACTGGTAGTGCCTGTTAAAACAAGATAATCTCTGCAATACCATCCAAGTTCTCTTCTGCCAAAACTCCCTGTCTTTCACCTCCTGAGCTCTGCCTGGGTGAACTCATCGCCAAAGGAATCTATGTTCTGATCACTTACCCCATTTTCTCTTCTCCACTCAGCCCAAGGTTAGTTGTTGCTGTTGTTTAGGTTCTGGAGAGGGTGGAGGGAAAGGTTCATAATTCTGTTTCCCTAAGAGAATTTACACTGTTGAAAACTAGACTTAGGAAGAAGCATATATGCAACATTACTACCTACTGCTCAAATGTATCTTTTTGCTAAGGTGATGAGCCTAAGATGGCCAAGCTTGAAACAAAAAGGGATAAGGAAAGTATGGGATTATTAGAATGACACTGAAAAAAAATTGGTTTTGTATTTATTGTACATAAATTATATCACCCTAGATGTATTATGCTGTAACTTGCTTCTTCTTCTTGTTCAGTATGCCTTGAAGATATTTCCATGCTGCTACATATAGCTCCACATTATTTATTCAATAACCACTTATTGAGTCCCTATTGTGTGCCAGGGGCTGCATATATAGCACTGGAAAAATATACTAAATCTCTAGTCTTGTCAGCTTACATGTTAGAGAAGAAGAAAGATAATAGTCATCCATGCATGTACATAAGTGATATAACATGAAGAGATGGATCCAAAGAGAAAAAAGTGGGATAAAGGGTCAGAGACAAAGGTGGTGTTTCAGACCATCAGAGAGGGCCCCTCTGCAGGGGCAATCTCATTCTTTATATCTCCTACACAGCCTAGCATGACATTGCAGAAGGATAGCAATATTTATTTCCCATTAAAAACCATGCTGTATTATTACCTTGTGCACACGTACAATAGTACTTTGAGTAGATGCTGAAAAACAGAAATATTGGGTCATCCTTGCAAACTGCTCTCTGAAATGGCTATACTGATTTTTACTCCCATCGAAAACTGTTTGTTCCCCATACCTCTCTTAGTGAATACTACCAAAGTTACTGATTTTATCAATCTTCTGTATCCAAAAAATGGCATCTTGTCCTTTTTTTGTAATTGTCACTTCCCTTTACTATTTACATTGAATATGGTTTCATTTGTTTATTAGACATTTACATTTCCTATCTTATAAAAATAGCTATTCATACCCTTTGCCCATATTTCTATGGGATTTTTTTTGTCTTTCTCTTTTGATTTGTTGGAGCTAATGCACTTAAATTAATAAAGTTTTTCTTATATATGTTGTAAATGTTTTCTCTCATTTTATTCATCCTCTTAATAATCATACCTTCATCAGTCTTTATTATTTTGACCTTTTAAATTCAAATTCAGCATACATTTATTAAGTACTCTCTACATATAAAACAATGTGCTAGGGCCCCTGGAAAATATAAAAGTAGTTGAGACCTGACATCTGCCCTCATGGATCTCACAATTCAGTGTTGGGGACACATGTACACAAATATTTATAAAGCCAAGGGCTTAATAATCCACAAAGTACTGTAAAAATAAGTACTATGGTGGGGCAATGTCTGGCTCAGAACAAGGTATATGGAAAAGTTTCATAGATGTAGTAGCATTGAAGAGACAGCGGCCTTTTGAAAAGCAAGGATAGGTAAAAGTCTTCATCACAGGAGAAACAACACAAGCCAGGCAGAAAATGCAGCCAGGAAGGGCTGGGGAGAAATTTCTGGGAAAGCCAGACAGTGACTATATGGGTAGGAATAAGAGCAGTCAAGTCAGTGGAAGACCAGATTGAAAAAGTAGAGTGGAGCTATCTTACTCTTCTACACATAAATAAGAAATAAGTGATAAATCCTACAATTCATAGTCTCCCTGAGAAGTAGTCATTAATGAAAAGAAGAACATTATTGACTGTGAGAAGTGAAGATTTGGAGTGACTGGGAGACCATGGATGGCCTTGTCTGCAAGCTTGACAACGGCCTGAAGATGGATGCTTTGCAGCCCTCTGGTGGGTGCGTGCACACTGCCAGTGTGTCTGCTGATTTCCGCTGGCCAGAGAGAGCCCTTGCCTGAAAACAGCTGCAGTTGGCAAGTCTTGAGTCTGTTTTACCATCCTGCAGAGGTAGGAGTTGGATAGTTTATGCACTATGACTTCACAGTCCTCTGGGGAGGCTGCCAAAGAAAGCATGTTTTGGATAGAAATCTGAAAAAAAGTAAAAAGAAAAAAAATAAAGATTTGAAATACCCGAGATGAGTTTGGCATTGAGATAAGTTTTCACATCCAGCTCCTCCCTAGGCTGTGCCATTTAATCATCCTCCAGGACACAGGGGCTGCCATGGATAGTGATTAGGCCTCCTTGGGCTGCATCAGCAAACACCCTTCTCTGATAGGCAGTTGGAAAGTAATGGGATTTGGGTTTTAGTTGCAAGGGAATGGTGGAAAATGTTACAAACGGTCGACCTCCTTCGCCCTCACTGAAATGGCTGCCTCTCTCTGCACATTTTATGTTGCTTTGGGGAGAATGACAAAAGACAGATGCTTCTTGCTGGAATGCTGACTGTTTAATCTTTCTTTCTAGTCCCAAGACATTTACTGTAGTTTCTTGGAGGAGACATCTTGGGCCACTCCTTGGTTTTCAATGTCTTGTAAATGGTGTTGTGTTGTGATTTTCCATTATATGGATTATAGGAAAATCTGTGGGAGTAGTTGTTTTAAAGGTGTTATGTCATAGATGGTGTCCTCAGGCCAAAAGCCTTAAATTGGGAATATATAAATTGCAAATAAACTGTAAACTCTTGCAGTCAGACACAAAATACATAACCTGGTCTAGCATCATCTCCTACAGAACAACAGCTAGGTGTACAGAGGTGCTTATGTCCATTTCAAGGGTTCCTAGCAATATACAAAATCATCTTTCCACTAGCATAACCTCTTTTCACAGTAACCACAAAGGAGGAGAACTGCTTTCCCTCCAGGTTCTAGGCCCCCGTGGAACCCCAGAAAGCTGCACAGTAGACAACACGCCCTTCAGAAACATAGTAAAACTCATATGTTAGCACAAACCACCCTGCTCAATAGATCTGCTGCTCTCTCTTTTTGTAAAGAAAATGAGCTTCATAAAGGTAATGGGATAAAAAGAGAAACTAACAAGATGTGATGTACTCAAGCGTTTTCATCATGTTAAGGCTCAAGAGTAAATAATCTCATAAGCAACCTCATTTTCCCAGGAGGAGCACATTCTTCGTAACAGGCAAATCATGACAGCAATTTGGCAAGTGATTCATTTCTCCTAAAAGTGTTAGCATTTTGTGGAACTTCATAAGTCTTTTTGTTTTAGTGTATCTTGTTAAGATTTGTTTTTTTCTGATTTTGATCCTGTGTATGTTTTTTCTCTCCCTCTTGTAAAATTTTCAAGTTGCCTAGATTAGTCACATGGCCTCCCCCTACCTGCACAGAGATGGTCACTTCTTCCCTCTCCAGTGATTGCCATACCTCTACAGAGCTCTCTCCTCGATGTGTGGGAACATCGACTCCAGCTCCACAACTGGAAATGGAAATCTATGTCTGTGGTTGTCTGTGCATGGGATCTCTGTGCTTTAGGTAGAAGAGATGCTTTTTAGGGCAGAACATATGGTCAAATTTTTCTTTACTTTCCTATGTGTGCATAAAAGACACTCGAAAGCAAGGATGAATAACAAGGCTTGGTGTTTCTATAGCATTTTCCCCAAGGGTATTTATAAATTTACAAAGATTATCCTCAAAATCCTCTCTTCAGCTGGGTTAAGAGCAAGAATTATTTTCATATTACATTGGAGGAAACCAGAATAAGGAGAAGCGTCTCAAATCTGCCAGTTTTACCCTGCTCAGAAACTGAGCCCCGCCCTTCAGAGATGAGTGACATCATCCCACCAACCCACTGTCTCTCTAGGCTGAGCTCCTGTCTTTCTTTGGTATAAGAAAGCCAATGTTCTTGGCTCCTTATTTAATCTTAAAATCAGTGTTGGGTGAATCAGTCAGAAGATTTGGACATTCTGTTCAGAAAATGTTATAAATTCGTCAAGATCTGCAAGGAGAGTTTTGCTCGATCTGCAAAACTCTCTGGCATTCTCAATAGAATAGCATTCTTGTGTCCCCAGATGACTTCCTGAAATGCAGGACCTGTAGGAGATGATATAGACAGTTTCCCCATTGCCTGGAAAGAGACCCAGCCTGTCACTGCCCCCTGCTTTTACCCATGCTATCTTCTCCCTTAGTAAGCCTTTCTTCTCTGTCCTTGCCCACCTGGAGCCCCTCTGTGCATCTTTTAGAACTCAGCTTGACAGTTACCATCTTCTTCACTAAGGCTTCTCAGGCATTCTCCCATTCTGCTTCCTCTTTGAAGCCTCAGTTTTTGTTTAGGTCTCTATTCATTCCCACTAGGATATGTGCCTGGTAAAAGGTGCTAACTTTAGCACAGTTCAACAGAAGCCCTAATCAACATAAAGATAATCTCAGTTGTTGACAGAGATTGGATAAAGAATTATCCTGTGGCCTGATTGGACAATCAGGCAAGAGAGGAAACGAATGTGGAGCTCTTAGTCCTCACAAGTAAGATGGGATTTGAGGAAGAGATGGTCAATCCTCTTCCTCTGGACATGCCATATAGCCTTGGGGTGACCACCACCTTCTCACTTCCAGCCTGAGGATGAAGAAAACATTGAAAACGGCAGAGTAGAGAGGAGGTTAAAATCCAGGCCCTTCAAGATTTCATAGATCCATTGAAACCACCAGACTTGAAGTTGGTTCTACTTCTGGATGCCTTCTTCTTTCTCTCTCTCTCTCTTTTTTTAAGATTTTATTTATTTATTTGATAAAGAGAGAGTGAGAGAGAGAGAGCATTAGCGGTGGGAGAGAGAGAAACAGACTTCCCACTGAGCAGGAAGCCTGACATGGGGCTCTATGTCAAGACCCCAAAAATAGGACCTGAGCTGAAGGCAGACATTTAACCGACTGAGCCAGCCAGGCACCCCTTCTGAAAGTCTTCTTATGGAAGATAATAAATTTTTTATTGATTAACTCAGAGCCCTACTCTCTATTTCTTGCAGCTGAAAGCTTCCTAATACATCCAATGCTTTTCTTGACCTACAACCCACATGTTCAGCCAGAATTGAATACTCCTTCCTTTGATTGGTCTGGCACTGTGTACATACCTCCATTACAGCATCAGTACTGGATTTTAATGATCTGCCTTTACTTACTGGCTTCTTACTGTCTCTTAGTATACACTTTAAATATCAGACCAATTTCTTGGTCACCCTTGGTTTCACACCATAGGAGCTACAAACTTCTGCCAACTGTTTTCCCCAGGTTAGGGGAAAAGATAGGGTTCCCTCTTCCTTCATTTCTAAGTCACCATTAATCACATGAAGGATGTTTTACATAACAGACTCTAACTAAATCCTAACAGAGAGGCACCCTTATTTTGAGAACTCTTTAGCTACCCCATCATGGAGAATTTACTATCCACTACTCTCTTTTTGAAGCTAATGCCTAGTCTACCTCTTCTTTTACCTGATTCCTCAAGGGTTCCCAAATTCTCATCACTGGAGCCTCAAAACAAAACTTTAAAAAAAATTATGCAGACCATTTGAGTTCCCTTTATTTTGGTGTTCCTTATGCATTCTATGACCTAAGCTTTACCTTTCCTTTCTAAACTGTGGGTGTATTTCCCTAAATAGACAAAATTTCCTCTTCTGATTCTTGTCCTGCTTCCTGATTATAGAAAGGACTGAAGTAAGATTTAAGCAATTTTTAAAATTTCTCCATTGTACTTGTATTCTCAAAGCTTAAATATGGGGGCTGTTGGGTTGCTCAATCGGTTAAGTGTCTGACTCTTGACTTCAGGTCAGGCCATGATCTCAGGGTCATGAGATGGAGCCCCGTGTCAGGCCTTGAGCTCAGCAGAATCTGCTGGAGATTCTCTTCCTCTCTCTCCCCACCTCAAATAAATAAATAAATCATTAAAAAAAAAAAGCTTAAATATGATATCCCTGACATGTGGTGACACTCAATTTTTAATAATAACATCCAATTGTCCCTTGAAGATAGTAATTAATCTCATGAATATTTCATGTGTTCTTTCACTTTTTCATTTTGTCATCTTTTTGAAGATTACCATAAATTTTCTCTTGAACCCCAACTCTTACTCCAAACAAAACAACAAACTATAAAGTTCTCTTTGTGACTGCTCTTTATCAGCAAGCAAGCAAGGCAGGTCCACACTCCAGCTGGCTTCTTAGTAATACCCAACAGTCACTTCATTCGAAGTATCTTAGTTTCCTCTTTTGTAAAATGAGGAAGGTGGCCTACTTTTCTGTAGCTTCCTTCCAGTTCTAGAATACTACGTAGGCCTCTAAAAGTCATGGGGGATGAGATACGAGGATGAATCCAAGAAGTAGAGAAGGCCAGTTAATTTTATTTGTAGCTCCAATCATTTGCTGCTGTTAACACTTTAATGATCTAGGATCTCAGCACTCCACTTAAGAAATAAGTGAGGACTAATCTTGTTTAACCACCAGGAGATTCTCACATTTCCTCTTTCCCTGAAACTAGACTATTCATATCCACCCTTATCTCGTTTGATAAACAAAATATTTCTACTAAAATTAAGTGGCAAGAGTAGTACATTCAAGTTTGGAAATTTAAAAAAATTTTCTTTTTAATTTCAACAATTATTTCCTTCCTTCTGTAATTGTCCCTAAGTTACCCAAGAAACCTAAATGAAGAGACAGTTTTGTGGAAAAATTAAAGAAAAAATGCAGGATTGCTGTTTTAAGGTTAAATTTTAGCTTGCTTCAAAATGTTAAAAGAATTAAGTTGAAGCACCATCTAGTGGCTCTCGATTATGTTTTTCTAAGGTTGCTCCCAATTTCCCTCAATTTAGGACCATAATTAATTTGTTGTGCATGTATATATGTATGCATATATGTGTTTAGGAAAGAAATGGTTCTTTTTCTTTATTCAGGGGTAAGAAGTTGAGAGACAGTAGCTATAGCTTTTTACTCTTCCAATTTGACATCACATAGAAAATCATGGCAGTGAAGAAGCATGAAATCAAATGTAAATTTCTTCCAGAAATAATGAGTCCTTTCATTTCAATGATAGCAGAAAAAGAATTAACTCAGTAAAGCCTCATAGATTTCAATTCCTCTGTTTCTCCTGATCACATCCTCTCTAACAGCCCACAACAACATCTTTATCTTTCCAACCCTGTAACACAGACACATCTTCACATGTGGTGGGATTGACTATTAGATAATCTTTGCACATCTCCAAATTCCCAAGCCCTTTCACAAGTCTATAACATCCTTCAGTTTTACATAACCAGCAATTCTTCTGGAATTTTGGCTCTTCTGGAATTGGTTCTAACATAGATGGCTCTTATAGCTATGGTTACTATCTTCTGAAGTTACATGTGTTTCATAATCTCTATGGGAAGAATGAAAATAGAACATGAAAAATGCACATGAATAGAGTATAACCTATGTTGTAAGACTGACAGCAAATCTTGAACCTGGCAAAGTAGGCATTTTCATGAACTAGGATTAAGTTCACATTGTATGGAATAAAACTCAGAAGAACAGTGGCATGAACACAATAGCGTATTTTCTCTCACACAAAAGAATTTTACAGTAGGTATTTTAGAGTTAGTATGGTAACTCCATAGTCATTAGGGCCCAATATCTTCTGTCTTTCTTTTCCACCATCTTAGTGAGTAGCTGCCATCCTCAATGTCATCCATGGCCCAAGCTGCTGGACCTCCAGTCATTATGCCAGTGTTACAGTCCAGGAGACAAGAAAGAAAAGTAAAAGAGGATTTCTCCTTTCTCTTCAAAGATATCCCAAAAGGTATCACACAAGATATATGCTTACACCTTATTTGCAAAAATTGTAATGGGTAGTCATACTCAGTTACAAGGGAAACTGAGAAATGTCTTTTAGTTAAGTGTGTCTCCATACTAAAAAAAATTGGAGTCATGTTATTAAGCAATGCATCAAAGATCTAATATCACAACAATTTTGTGTAACAATCACAAAACCTCCATAGCAACAATTGCTTAAATGTCTGGGATCATCTGAGGGTCAGGTAGGCAGCTCTTTTGACCTTGATTGAGCTTCTCCCTTGTCTAAGAGATGATTAACTGTTGGATTATCTAGGCTGGTCTCAACAGTAAGGTGGAGAATGGGACTAGGATGACCCAGCTCTGCTCTACATGTTTCTCATCCTCCAGCGGACTAGCCCAGGCATGTTCTCATGTACAATTAACAGAAACACACAGGACTTCTTGAGATGTTAGCTCAAAACTAGTACACTGCCACTTTTGTCTCATTTGATTGGCTAAAGCAAATTACATGAGTTAGAGAAACATGCAATTTCTTTATGTTTTCAACTAAAAAAATCACTGACAAATTACGTGGACAGAGGGAGGGGGAAGATCTGGAGTCACGAATATAATCTTCTACCACAAAGAAAAGGGAAGATGAGCATTGGATCAGGCAATTAGCAGTCAGTGCCACAGTGTTTTTGAGTCTGTGACAAAACTATGGTACTAGATTTTTTCAATTCTATGCTCTGTTTTAAACATGAGGGAATATTTATAAGAAAAAAGAAAAAAGAGCTAATATAAGTTATATATGAAATTATTTACTAGTTTATTTCTTGGTTCATGTTGAGTTACTGATGAAGTAAGTATTAATCTTAGCATTTGACCTATCCTTTACTGTAGGCATGGACTAGCTATCTGTACCCAAACCCTGACTCTATTTCTGCTGAGACAGTTACACTACATTCTCCAAATTCCATAGAATTTAGTGTGGCTATGTGACAAATACTAGCCAATAGAACATGAGCAGATATTATTACTACTCCAGGCCTGGCTCATAAAAACCTCCTACATAAAAATCCCCCATTCTCCCTTTCTCTTTCACACTCACCAGCTGAAAGGAGAATACTCTGAGAAGGGCAGAGATATAGGATAAAGTGCTGACTTACAGCAGAACCACTCCTGTTCCCTGCTTTAGATCAAAATCCTTCCCTGGGATACGGAGTGAGGAAGAATTAAATTTTTGTGATATGAATACACTGAGATTGGGAGGTTGTTTGTTTCAACAATTAGACTATCATACTTATATATTATCTTCCAGATAGTAGTATGCATTCATTTTCTCCCTTGGAGCCTTGCTAAAAAAAACAATAGCTTGAATCACGTGCCAACTTATACAAGAAATTTTTCCTTTAAATAAAAGGACACTTTTTACCATAGGGTAACCATACCAATCAATCAAGATAGGGTTCCAGTTTACTGTGGCCCTAGAAAATATTGGGGTTTCACCAAGAAATCTTACCATTAATCCATTCCAGTGTGGGGTACTTGAGACGGCTGAGCTCTAAAAGATGAGGTAACTTTCAGCACTGTCTCCAATAACTCTAAGAGTCCTTATTTGGGGTTAACTTATAATTTCTTCAAAAATAAAGGTACTATTGAAAATGACTCCTCATCATTTATTCAATGATTGGGCCAAACATGCAGTAGGACAACCAGACTAATTGCTAGTAAGTAAGAAAAGGATGGGAGGTTCCAAAGAACTCAAGGGGTGTAGAAAACCTGCAGAGCTTTGTAATTTGCCATTTGCTGAACCATCTTCCTCTTTAGGCTGAGAAGCAGGGCTATCTCCTGTTTGCAAATAAGAATTCAGTAAGACAAAGAGGAAAGTAGATGAGTCATCCCAGACATTTACAAAGGCAGGCAGCAATCTTTGGCATGTGCATAAATATACGTATGCTAAGAGTTTGTTTTTTTATTTATTTTTTTAAGTTTTTTTTTTTTTTTAATGATAGTCACAGAGAGAGAGAGAGAGAGAGAGGCAGAGACATAGGCAGAGGGAGAAGCAGGCTCCATGCACCGGGGGCCCGACATGGGATTCGATCCCGGTCTCCAGGATCTCACCCTGGGCCAAAGGCAGGCGCCAAACCGCTGCGCCACCCAGGGATCCCCGTATGCTAAGAGTTTGAAACAGGATTTGCCAACTATCACATTGATTCACATAAACACAAGATATTAAATAGAATTGGAGCAGTTGAGTTAGATGTTGAACCCAAAGGCTGATCTTAACGAGCTGCTTTTTCATGGTGTTCCATCAAATCTAAATTGACTTCCAGATTTTTCAGTTTTCATGTTCTATGAAAAAACACAAAATATATAATTAAGCACAATGAATATAATCCTTCACAGGCATAGAAACTAGGGAGTAAACATTTAAGAAGCTTCAGTTGAACTTCATTTCCCCCACTGAATTCTCGAAGGATGGCCCAGGACAGATTATCTTTCAGGAAAGCACTGTAATGAAACAGGAACTTTTGCCCCAAAGCTGCAGGCATCACTTCCTGGACTCTCCAGGTGTTAACAAAGTTCATACATTAAAGAAAGGGGTAGGGGAACAAACGATGTGCCAAAAAATGCATCAAGCTCTTCCCAGAATATTATAAACTTAAAGCTTTACAATGATGTTTTCTTTCTAATGAGTCTATATTTTTTTAGATTTCATTTCCTACCTGCAATGATTTATTCTCTGGAAATAGGTGAATCCCACGATGACCAGGATAATAACCAAGAATAAAGAGAATTTCACATAGAGAATGACCGGTAAGGCTGATGTTGGAAATTCCAGAGTTATGGCACCTTTAAATACAGGCAACACAGGCACAGGTAAAGACCATTTCAAGGATTCTTGCAATGAAAAAAGTAGGGTCAATTGTCTAAAAGAGACTTTTATTTATTTATTTATTTATTTATTTATTTATTTAAATTTTTTTAATAATAAATTTATTTTTTATTGGTGTTCAATTTGCCAACATACAGAATAACACCCAGTGCTCATCCCATCAAGTGCCCCCCTCAGTGCATGTCACCCAGTCACCTCCACCCCCCACCCTCCTCTTCTTCCACCACCCCTAGTCCGTCTCCCAGAGTTAGGAAGGAGACTTTTAAAATAGTCTTAAAAGTTCACAGACAATCATAATCAAAACACCTTCTAAACTACAATTCAAATATTAAGATATTCTTTCATGACAGAGTTTAGGAGCTGTATGTTTATACATGGTAGATTTTCAATATTTTCTAAATAAATAAATACACAGTAAACATTGCTAATACTTTCCAATTATATAAGAAAAAAGGAAATATGTTTTCTGACTTCCTATGTAAATGGAAGATTTTTAGGGTATTATCATTAATATTTTGAGCACTATCTGATATTTTCCACATAGTAATTTTGTCACTGAGTTGCTGTCACCAGTTTAGTAGGGTATTTTATGTCTTCTTACTTTCATTTATTAATCTGTAAAATGGCCCCAAGAACTGTTGAAAAGATAAAATGAGACTAATTTGAACTATCATTCTGAAGTTTTTTTCTGCTATGAAAATGGCAACCAAAAGTAAACTTTAAGTACTATTCTGAGTCTTTGCTCCAAAAGTCATGTCATCTTGTTAAATAACCTATTCACATACTAAACTAGAAGTAGGTCAATCTCCTTCCTATGCACTATCAGGGAAGAAGACATAGTCTCAGCCCTCAAAAAGGCTCACAGTCTAATTGGAAAAGTCAGATCCACACAAATGAAAAGATCACTTACAAGATAGCAAAGAGTGCTAAGTGAGCATTATGGAATGTAATCATCTAAAGAATAAGAAAACTGAATCAACTCCAACTGGGAGGTCAGGGTGAAGTGAAATTTGAATGGAACCTTGCCAATAACAGGATTAAATAGGTTAAGAGAAGAAGGAAGAAGTTTTCAAGGGAAAGAAACAATTTGAGCAAAGATTTGAAGAATTCATTAACAAATCAAATGTGATAGAGCAGAGTACAGATGTAGATGAAGTCTATGATGATCTGAATTCTGTAGCTATTTGTATGTTTTAGGCACTGTGCCAGACTGTGGATATAGAAATGAAGAATATGGTTCTTACTCTCAAGGAGTTTACCATGTACTGGAGTCAGAGAAGTGGACAGTCAATTACAGGACTATGAAGTACTCAGATATATGCATGAGGCATTACATGAGCACAGAGTAGGAAATTTCATGGGAAAAGAAAATTATCCCAGAAACTATTTCAAACTAAGCCTCAAAACTTCAGAGGAAGAGCACCTGGGTGGTTTAGTTGGTTGAGCACTGGACTCCTGATTTCGCTTAAGTCATGAACTCTGGGTCATGAAATTGAGCCCCATATGGGGCTCCATGCTCAAGGTGGGTCTGAGATTCTCTCCCTCTGCCCCTTCCTCCATACTCTCCCTCTCTCTCTCAACTAAATAAATAAATCTTTTTTTAAAGCTTTAATAGGAATTGAGAAAATGGAACGGAAGAACAGAGTATGAGGAAAGAAGTGCATGTGGAGAGGTGAAAATGGCATGTATAATGTGCAATTACATGTACAGAAGTATGAGAAAGGTTAATACTTTTGAGGAACCCAAAGAAGCCCACAGTCCAGGCTGAAGATTAGCGAGACATGAGGCTATAGAGAATGGCATATCAAAGGAGCTTAGCTTGCTAAGAGACCAAGAGAAACCACTGGGGGCATTTAAGGAGGAGAGGGGCATGTTCTTCTCATTTTAGAAAAGTCACTCTGGCAACAGTGTAGGCAATAAATTGGAGTGAGGTAAGCTAGGTGCCAGGCCTGTTATAAGGAAATTGGAATTATTCTGGGGAGAGATGATCATGTGTTCAACTAAAGCAAAGGAAAGGAAAAGGTCTAGATTTAAGAAAAGAATTTAAGACGAAAATCAACAGAACATAGTGACTGATTTTGAATATGGGAAATAAGAAAGATTAATATTGTAGGATATCTTTAATTTTCTGGCTTGAGTCATTTATTAAGATAAAATATAAGTATGGAGCTTATGAAGGAGTAGAGAAGAGGAATTCCTTTTCAGGAATATGCAAGTTGAGGTGCCCTTGATGTATCCACATGAAGTCATTCAATTGGAAATTATTTTTGATCATGGTATAGCCAAGGAGAGAAATATGAGCTAAAAATAGGTTTGAGAGTCAATAATTAGGCAGTGGTTGGAGCCACAGGTACGGACGAAGTCCTTCAATGAATAGGAGTAAAGGTGAAAAGACAATAGAGTCAGTGATCAAACTCAGAGAAATGCCTTCCTTCATGGAATGAGTAGATGAAAAACATTCTAAGATGACTAAGTTGACTGAAGGTTAAGAAGAGAACCAAGTGATTATGGGAGGAAAATAGGTAAGAAGAGAGGAAAGGCCTTATCACATATCACAAAGAAGTTAATTAATAACTAACTAAGAATTAAAAATTTATATTTTGTTTGGCATCTGAGAGATCTTTAGCTTTTTGTTAGAATATTTCCTGTGCACAAAGATGCAAAGGAGTTCAGGAATAGATGTGAGGTAAAAGAGACAATGAGCATAGATTCTTCCTGTAAAAAATCTTGGATATGAATAAAAGGCAAGAGCCAAAAGTTTGCGGAAGTCCAAGCAACTATTAAAACAAGAGAGGAGGGACGCCTGGGTGGCTCAGTGGTTGAGCATCTGCCTTTGACACAGAGCGTGATGCCAGTCCCGGGATGGACTCCTACTTCAGGCTCCCTGCGAGGAGCCTGCCTCTCCCTCTGTCTGTGTCTCTACCTCTCTCTGTGTGTCTCTCATGAATAAATAAATAAAATATTTTTAAAAGTAAAAAAATAAAAATAAAACATGGGAGGAAAAACAAAAAATAAAACAGGGAGAAAAAGAGTCATGCACATATAATCAGCCTTAGGAAATGGATCTGTGGAACAAAAAAAGAGTGAACAAAAGCACAAAAAACTACTGAAGCAAAGCTTCTCAGGACATGGGAAGGGAGAAATGAGTATAGAGTACAGGTTGAATGTTTTATCTATGGAAAACAAAGTCAGGTGGGACTGCAGATAAATGCATATGTCTAGAGGCAAGAAATATAAAATAATAGCCTAGAGCTGGTAGGAGATTGGTAATAGAAAATAAAGAATAGAAATGAATGTATTAGTACATGGGACTACATGGGTGATGCTTGAAAACATTATCCCAAGTAAAAGAAGTCAGTAACAAAAGGCACATATTATATGGTTCCATTTATGTGAAATGTCCAAAATAGGAAAACCTATAGATACAGAAAGTAGGTTAGTGGTTGCCTAAAGCTGGAGGATTTCTGGAATTAGAAAGTGATAGCTAAAGAATAGAGGTTTTTTTTTTTTTTTTTTTTTGGAGTGACGTATATGTTCTAAAATTGATTGTGGTGATGGTTGCATAACTCTGAATGTGCCAAAGACCTGTATGATACACTTTAAATGCATGAATTGCACGCTACATAAATTAGATCTCAATAAAGATGTTGCAAAAAACTTAATAGGAGAGATGTTATAAGGAATAATTAATAGGCTGATTATTTTAAATAACATAAGAATGAGTATAATAGCTAATCTGTATTAATATAATCAACATAATAGCTAACATTTATTGAATATAAAAGCTAATACTGTTCACATGGTAAATACAGTAGCTAAAATTTGTTGAGTATCACCTATGTGATAGGCACCATGTAAAATAAATATATTACTCTTTTTTTAGGATTGATTTATTTATTTGAGAGAGAGAGAACAGGGGGAGGAACAAAGGGAAAGATAAATTCAAGCAAACTCTCTGAATGTAGAACCTAGCCCGGGGCTCGATCTAATGACCCATGAGATCGCGAGTCAAAACCCAGAGTTGTATGCTTAACCAACTGTGCCAACTAGGCTCCTCAAATATATTATTCCTTTTAGATATCATAATAACTCTATAACATGGTTCTGTCATCCATTCTATCAGATGAAGAAACCATGAGACTAGCCATTGTAGTGATCATTTTGCCACATACATAAATATCAAATCATTATGTATACCCAAAATTAATTTATTATATGTCAATTATATCTCAATTTTTTAAAAGATCTTATTTATTTATTCATGAGAGACACAGAGAGAGAGGCAGAGACACAGGCAGAGGGAGAAGCAGGCTCCATGCAGGGAGCCCGATATGGGACTCAATCCCAGGACCCCAGGATCATACCCCAGGCCAACGCAGGCACTTAACTGCTGAGCCACCCAGGTGTCCCATATCTCAATTTTTTAAAAGGCCATGAGACAGAGAAATTAAATACTCTCCCAAGTCTCACAGCTGGTAAACAAGAAGCCATATTATGCCGAAGGCTTTGCTCGTAACCATCGGGTTATGCTTCTTGGAATGATATGAAGACATGGACCTTGTCTTTTCATCTTTACATAACAGCATCAAAAACACATACATTCAACAAGTATTTGGCAAATGAATTGATGTATATGTTTCAGATGACAGAGAGGAGAAAGGAAAACTTGTCTGCTAGTAATAAAAGTGGTGACTATTTAAGAACTATGAAAATCAGGAAAGGAATAATATTGTTCCTGTCTATCTACTGAATCAGTATTATTAAATTATATAAAAGTATTGCTACTTTATGCAAATACTAATCTCAAAGTAAAAGTCAATAGATACTAAGTTAAATTTTTATGGCTTCTAGAATAAAAGATATTTAGTGTACCACTAAGAAGTTGTTAAATTTACTCCTTCATTTTGTTAAAGGAATAGGAATTATTTCCCTAACATAGTAAAGCATTACCTAGTTAAGTTTAGATAACATCTTCAAATTAGGAGCCAAAGGTTCCTTGCTTTGTTTTTGGAATAGAAAGTGGAAAAATTGGTGATGTGGTTTTCTCCTCCCAAGCATTAAGTTCATTACCTAAAAAAACAAACAAACAGGTAATTACCTTGATTCAACTCTATAGACAGACTCTTGTTGCCAGTCACATGGGAGACAAAGCAGGACACCTCAGACACCTGGCGGTCCTCCCAGTGGCATGTACTCTGCACGGTCACTGTGTCATTGCCCAGTCGTTCTTCCACAGTGTGACAATCTCCCGTTGGGGTCCAGGAGATCTGTGCAGCTGGGCTCCCTGCAACTGCCCAGCACACGGTAGTTCCATTCTCGCCTAGAGACAGGGTCACCTTAGGGGGCACTGCAGAGATACAGGAGAAAATGTTTCAGGCTCAACACATGCGATATGGACTAGAGACAGACCTTTGGTTCAGTCTCAGATCTGGTTCTCTGGCATACCACAGTACGCGAGGCTACTTACCTAACACTCGGAGGTGATGCCCATGACAGAAATTCCCTTCAGCTGTGACCACTTCACACTTGTAATATCCTTCATGAGTGATGGCCACGGGATTAATCCGAAGGGCAAAGTTCTGATCGGGTCTGGAGTCCCAGGATATTCTCTCGTCTGTACAAGTTTTCTCACTCATCTTGTTGTTATCTGTCCTGTAGGCTCTGGTGCAGGAAGTCTTGTCTCTGAAGGTTACTGACCATGTTACTACCATAGCATCCGAGGTGGCATTAGGGCAATGGAGCACAACCCTTGTATCCACAAATACAGACAGAGAAGTGTTGGCTGGACACACACACAAAGAGAAGGAGAAAACAGAAGCGTGGTGAACAACTTCATGTGCTACACTCTCTACAACAAATTATATAAAGTGTACTACAACATGACTTTGCTGGTGATCTTATTTCAAGAATATTAATTAGGCTTACATAAAAATTAAACATGCACAAAATGTATAAAATACATTAAACTTAATCCAAAGATGAACCCATTTCTCTCCTATATCAAGTGTTCTTAGATAAACTATATTTCTTATATGTGTGAGAAAAATTTTAAGAGTTTAAAATTGATTCAGAAGTTTAGCTTTGAGAAACACAAATAAGAAAACACAATATAAATTAAAGGACAGATTCATCTAAATCAAATCTTTTGGTCATAGAGATTATTAGATTTATCTCATCCTCCTTGGGGTAGAAAGTGGAAAAAATTGGTGATGTGGTTTTCTACTCCCAAGTCTTGATCAGAACGAATAAATCTGTAATATCAGAATGAAAAGCCTACCCCTAAGGATGGCACTTCATACAAACATAAATATAAAAATCATGTGACACTTTCATTAAAAATAAGATGACATTCAGGTTGAGCAAAATGGACATTTCTTAAGCTATTTTTTTATTTGGAGAATCACTAAGTCAGTAAATTCAACAGATCTCCTTCTTTCCTTCCTTCCTTCAGTGCCATCTGACCAGTGGTCTTCCTACTTTCTCATCCGTTCTCCACCCTCTTGTGTTTTGTTGGGGACAGTTGTTTTGTGGCTGTCTACAAATGCCTTTTGTGACTAATACCATGCAAAACATCTTGTAGGGCTTCCAGGGAAGACCGTTGCCAATTTCACAAAAGTATCATCTGTCACTTCCTGTGTAGGCATAGAATTCTGCATCTTACAAAACCTAACTGGTATGATTTTATGCTGTAATAAAATGACTTATAACAATACTTATTCTCTCTCAGGATGTTACAGTTTCAAGTCAGTGGATCTTGAAGGACAAATCTTTACATTTCTTATGTCCCGTAGCACAATGCTAATAAATTTCACTTTTCTGAAAAAAAAAAAAAAAGCAGATCTGAGGAGCAATTAAATCTATGCTCTTTTGACCACTGCAGGTGGCCACTCCTTTCACAGAGAACCTGTGACTTGGCCAAAGCTTAGAGGCAAGCAAGAACGTAGCTGATTGGAGAACGCGTAGAGCTGAGTGTGGAGGAGCATATATGTGCCCAAGGGCAGGATGCTGAAGATGAAACCAGAAAGAGAAGAGGCTGATGAGCAGCCTGTTAAGAGGGTTCTTTTGTGTTCTGGGGACTTTGCCCTTCAGCCCTTCAGGCTAAGGCTTTAATTTTCCTGACATTTATTCTCAAGGTGTGGCTCTATTCTTTTAAAGGAAACTACTAATTAATCAAATAAACATACATATTTTAAGAGGGGTGCAGTCTCCAGAGAAGTAGGTCCAATGGTGAAGATCCCCAGGACTATGGATAGTCTCTCTTCCTTCACTTTTCTCCACTCTATGACCTCCAACGATGCCCCTTCACCTGATAGGAGGCATCTTAGGGGATTGCTATTATCCATCCTTTCCTAATCCTCTTCTTTTTCTTTTCATACCTGCCTTTTTAAAAATATTTTATTCATCCATTCATGAGACACACAGAGAGAGGCAGAGACACAGGTAGAGGGAGAAGCAGGCTCCCTGTGGGGAGCCCGGTGCGGGACTCGACCCTGGGATCACACCCTGAGCTAAAGGCAGTTTCTCAACCGCTGAGCCAACAGGCATCCCTACTCTGTTCATATCTGTTGTGATAATTCAATGGCCACTCACTCCCCCACACTAAATGGGTTGGCACCTGTCTAACAATAAATCTCCACACACCCCTGTGATCCGCTATGGTGATTTCACCTCTGGCTTCACAGAAGGGTAACAGGTAGATTCTCATATTTGCTCCAGAACCAGCAGGCATGTCCCAGTGTTTCTGCAGCCTGTGTCTATGACTCTCTTCCAGTCTCCTCCAGCCTCTTGCACACAGACAAATCCCTTTTCCTTTCTGTTCTCACTGCCACACCCTGGTTTACGACCCCATCACCACACTCCTGCATTACTCCAGAAGCCTCCTAACATCTGTCTCCGTCTCAAAACTCTCTCCTCAGTTCATAGCCTATCTTGCAGCCACGTACTTGATTCTGTAACACAAGGGTGATCCCCTCCACTCGGACACCCTTCAGAGATCTCTCACCGCCTGAGGACAAACTTAAATGTGTTTGATTTAGCTTTAAAAGCCCTCTTTTCAAATAGACTCACCTTTGTAATCTATAACCCCTCTGTTGCCCCACACCTCAGAAAGAAAACACCAAGTACAGCTGCTTATCTAGGTCTTCCCTCAATGTTTCTTGCTGTCTGGGATGGCCTACACAGCACTCTCTCTGTGAACACATCCCTCTTCGTTTAAGAGCCAATCACATGCTGCATGCTCTGTGAAGCCTTCTCAGGGCCTGGGTCCTCAGTCTCCCTCTCTATATTCCTGGCACACTTGCTAGGAGGGCTTATCTCCTCTACTCTATATGAGATCTGGGTTCACCCACAAAACTGAGCCCCCTAGGGTGCTCTGGTGGTGTAGTTCATCTTGCTTCATCTTTGTTCATCCTCTGTGTTCCCCATTAAAGCCTAGCACACGGACTGATAGAGAGAGCTCCATAATCTTCACATGGAATTGAACTGCTTTGACAGACAAGGGCCAGAGTCACTCAGGTCCCTTATGCAGCAGCCTTCAGATCGCCATGATCTTCAACTGAGCTGAAGGCTGGCCCCCTGACCAGACTATCAACTATGTTTCTAAGGATGTTCAGCAGCCCTTCTCTTTAGTACTGACCACTAGAAAAAAATTTAAAGACATATTAAATTCCATAGGAGGTGTGATGCTTTTCTGCTTTCTTCCCACAGGTAAAATATTTGTTAAAGCTAGAAAATATTCAGAGGAAAGTATATCAGTTTTAGGTGCCTAAATGGAGTACAAGCCTCCATGTATGCACATCTCTTACAGACATAATTATAGAAAATCTTTTAACTGTAACTAAAGTCCACAAAATGCTTTGCTTTGCAAAACAGAAATTAGAAGTTATTCCATCAAGTGGAAAAACATGTTAACATTTGAAAATTACATTATAACCTATTAATCAATGATTTCTCATTTATGAGACACCTTACTCTACGTTGACAACAATTCTGTCAAAGGCAACCCTGCTTCCACCTCTTTTGAAGCCACAGTGGACTGACCCCTCATGGGTACATTCCATGATCTGGGCTGAGTCCAGGGCTTTCTCCAGATATCACCCACAGGATTAAAAGTGTTAAATCCAGTGGTGGGCCTCACTCAGTGGCACAAATGAGATTACCTTCAGGAAAATTTGGAACCAGACTGAGATAATTCATCCCTCTCTTTCCCCCATTTTGTACTGTAATGGCTGATTTTATGTGTCAACTTGGCTTGGACATGGTTCCTAGGTATTCTGCTAAATAGTATTCTAGATGTTTTTGTGAAGGTATTGTTAAGGTAAGACTAACATTTAAATGAATATAATTTCAGTAACATAAATTACCTTCCTCAATGGGGGGGGGGCACTTTCAAACCAGTTGGAGGCTTTGACTGAAAAAAGAGTGACCTCCCAGGAAAGAGTTCTATAGCACACGGCCTTCAGACTCAAACTGCTACTCTTCCCTGGGTCTCTAGTTGCTGGCCCACCTGAGAGATTCTGGACTTAGCAAGCCTCTGCAATCACGTGAGCCAATCCTTTAAGTCTCTCTACCTGCCTCCCTGTTCCTCTCCCTCCTCCTTCTCTCTCACTCTCACTCACCTATCTTTCTCTTTCCTCCATCTCCCTGCCTCCTTATATTCTCTCTTTCTCTCTCTCTCTCTCTCTCCCTCTCTCTCTCTCTCTCTCTCATTCTTTTTTCTCCAAGGAACCCTAATACACCCATCTTGGGAAGATTGTAGCAGAAGCAGAGAAAGATAGAATGATTCTCCTCACCTGGCTCACGTCTCTAACTCCTTGGTTCCTGAGACCAACATGCATCCTTCCCTTGGATTCTATACAGTTTCTGACAATCAAAACAATCCTAATCTACGTCAAATTCAGGTTCTGTAAACTTCTAAATTGAACTAATTTTTGGAAAACAACAATTTTTTTGAAAATTATAATTTAGGGGCACCTGGATGGTGCTCAATTGCTTAAGTGTTCAACTCGTGGTTTCAGCTCAAGTCATGACCTCAGGGTTTTGAGATCAAGCCCTGCATTGGGACCCACCCTCAGTATGGGTCTGCTGAAGATTTCCTCACTTTACATCTCCCTCTACCTTTCCCCCTGCTTGCTCTCTCTCTGTCTGTCTCTCTAATATTTTTAGAAAAATGAAGGATATAATCATTTATCTTGTGGTTTATTCTGTGTGTACTTGAGAACAATGTGTTCTGCTGTTGTTGGAAGGAAGGTTCTGTACATGTGTGTTAGGCCATTTGGTCTACAGTGTTGTTCAAGCCTACTGTTACCTTATTGACTATGTAGCAGAGTTTTCCATTTTTATGTGGGGTATTACAGTTCCCTACAACTGCTGTATTGTCTACTTCTTCAGTTGTGGTAATATCGGATCTATACATTTAGGTGCTCCAATGTTGGATGCATAAATATTTACAATTATTATATCCTCTTGATGTATTGACTCTTTTACCATTAGATACTAACATTCTTTGCCTTTAGTTATAGTTTTTGACTTAAAGTCTATTTTCTCTAATATAAGGATACCTATCCCTACTACTTTCTCTTGGTTTTCTTTGGCATGGATGCTGAAGATGAAACCAGAAAGAGAGAGGGTGGTGAGCAGCATGTTTATGACTTCCCCATGAAGCTTAGCACAGTGCCTGATAGAGAGAGCTCCATAATCTTCACAGGGAATTGAACTGCTTTAGGAGGGGAGGGTCAGGGTCATGCATGGTCCCTCACCCCGCTGCGTTCAGATCACCATGCCCTTCAACTGGCTCAAAATTGTCCCCCTGACCAGACTGTCTATGTTTCTAAGGATGTTGAACACTTCCTCCCTTTAGTACTAGCCTCTAGAAAAAAATTAAAAAGCATATTACCTTCCACAGGAGGTGTGATGCTTTTCTGCTTTCTTTCCACAGGTAAAATATTTGTTAAAGCTAGAAAATATTCAGAGGAAAGTATATCAGTTTTAGGTGCCTAAATGGAGTACAAGCCTCCATGTATACACATCTCTTACAGACATAATTATAGAAAATCTTTTAACTGTAACTAAAGTCCACAAAATGCTTTGCTTTGCAAAACAGAAATTAGAAGTTATTCCATCAAGTGGAAAAACATGTTAACATTTGAAAATTACATTATAAGCTATTAATCAATGATTTCTCATTTATGAGACACCTTACTCTACGTTGACAACAATTCTGTCAAAGGCAACCCTGCTTCCACCTCTTTTGAAGCCACAGTGGACTGACCCCTCATGGGTACATCCCATGATCTGGGCTGAGTCCAGGGCTTTCTCCAGATATCACCCACAGGATTAAAAGTGTTAAATCCAGTGGTGGGCCTCACTTAGCGGCACAAATGAGATTACCTTCAGGAAAATTTGGAACCAGACTGAGATAATTTATCCCTCTCTTTCCCCCATTTTGTACTGTAATGGCTGATTTTATGTGTCAACTTGGCTTGGACATGGTTCCTAGGTATTCTGCTAAATAGTATTCTAGATGTTTTTGTGAAGGTATTTGTTAAGGTAAGACTAACATTTAAATGAATATAATTTCAGTAACATAAATTACCTTCCTCAATGGGGGAGGGGGGGCACTTTCTATCCCTTCATTTTCAGCCTAGTTGTATCCGTAAAGGTAAAGTCAATCTCCAATATGTAGCATATTGTTCAATCTTGGTGTCTTACCCATTACCATCTAATGTAGAATTTAGTCCATTTGTATTAAGATGACTGAGAGGAAAAAATTTAAAAAAAAAAGATGACTGAGAGGGATGTACTGCTATTTTCATTTTGTTCATTGTTTTCTAACTGTTTTGAAGTTCCTTTGTTCCTTTCTACCTCTCTGCCTATTGTTCCTTTGTGATTTGATGATTTTTTTGTAGTAGTATGCTTTGATTCCTTTTTCTATATCATTAGTCTGTCTACCAGATATTTTCTTTTACTTTGTGGTTACTACAAGACTTATATGAAACACCTTATAGTTGGTTTAAGCTGATTACAACTTAACTTCATTGCATACAGCACTCACTGCTTTTATTTCTCTCCCCCTTTTCTTTTATTGAGTCACAATTCACATATTTTTAATTTGTTTATTCACTAACATTATCATAGCTGTAATTATTTCTTATACTTTTCTTTTTAGCATTTGTGCTAGAGTCAAAAGTGATTTACACACCACAAACACAGGACTCTTAGAGTTAAGTGGCATCTTTCTGTTTTTACAGAAAGATGTTTTACCTTGTACCTTGTATATATTTAATTATATATTTGCCTTTACCAGTGTGTTTTATTTTTCATATGTCTTCATGTCTTTACCATTCTGTCATCAAATTTGAAGAGCTCCCTTTAGAATTAATTGCAAGCACATCTAGTACTGACAAAGGCCATCTGCTTTGTTTTTTCTAGGTAAGTCTTGATCAGTTTTATTTCTGGGTTGCTAAGGAAAGATTTCCTCCATGGCAGGCTTTTATTTTCAACACTTTGAATATATCATCTCACTCCCCTGGTCGACAAGGTCTCTGCTGAGAAATCTGCTAGTTTTATGGAGTTCGTTTATATGTGGCCAGTCACCTTTCTCCTGCTACTTTCAAAAGTCTCTCTTTTCCATTTGATTATCAAGATGTTCCAGGGAAGATTTCTTTATGGTCAGTCAGGTTATTTGGGCTTCATGGATTTCGACATTCATTCCTCACCCACTGCCCCAAAGTTTTAGAAAGTTGTCTCTCATTATTACATTACATGTGGTTTCTGCTCCTTTCTCTTTTGTCCATCTGGGACTCCCATGATGCTGATATTATTTTGTTTGTTGGTGTTTCATAAGACCCATAGACTTTCATTAATCGCTTTCATTCTTTTTGTATGTTTGCTTTGTATCTCTAGCTGAATGATTTCAAATTATGCCTTTGTGTTCAATAATTCTTTCTTCTGCTTGATGAATCTGCCACTGAAGCTTCCTATTGCATTTTTCAGTGGAGTCATTGCATTATTCAGCTTCAGAATTTGAGCTTGATTCTCATTTCTGTCTCTTTCTTGAAACTTCCTTTTGTTCATGTATTGTTTTCCAGATTTGTCCAATTGTCTGTGTTCTCTTGTATTCATTGAGCTTCCTTACATAGACTATTTTTATTTCTTTGTCCAGAATGCAGATCTCCATTTCTTTTGGATCAGTCACTGGAGCTTTATTTTGTTCCTTTGGTGGTGTCATGTTTTTAGATTTTTTAGAAGCTTTCCATGATTAGTGTCTTCATATTTATGAAAGCTGTCACTTCTTCCAGTCTTTAGTGACAGGCTTCTTCAGAAAAAGATCTTCACCTGTCAGCCCAGCTAGAGATTCTGGGAGGTCTCTCAGACATTTCCTAAAGATGTCTTCCTTCTCCATTCCCCTGGCTCCTTCTTGAGGCAGAAGTCTTAGGATTGTGTGCCTTCTCTCAAACCCACAAAACCAGACAGAATTCTGAAATCTGCCATTTTTTTTATACTAGGAAAGTGCCCTGAAGTGTTCAGGGTTTGGTGCCATCTCCTAGTTCAGCAGAATAAAGTGACTGCACACTATCTATGAAGGTGCCCATCATCTGTGGTGTGGTGGTGCTGGCTTCAGGAAGGACGATATGATTCTGCAGTACCAACACAAAGTGTCAGCACTTAATAGTGTCAGGCAAAGTAGATAATCATAAACACTAGCAAGGACAGAATGGCAGTCAAGAGATTCTGACCTGAAGGATTTGTAGCAAAAGCTAAATAAACCTTAGTGTTCTTAGGGGTAATATAAAAGGGCAGTCAGAGAGGGTATAGTTTGCCTTATCTAAATCAAGTGTACGGGAGTGTCTTAGTCAGCTTTGCCTGCTGCAACAAAAATACCATACAGTGGATTAGATAACAATCTTTTTTCTCACAGTTGTACAGTCTGGGAAGTCTAAGACCAAAGCAAAAGCAGATATGGTGTCTGGTGAAAGCCCACTTCCTGCCTTGTAGACAGCTGCCTTCTTGCTGTATTCTGGCATGGGAGGGTCAAAGGGAGAGAGAAAGAGAAAAAGCAAACTCTCTTGTGTCTCTTCTTATAAAGGTACTAACCCAAGATCTCCACCCTAATGACAAAATTCCCTCCCAAAGCCTCTACCTCTATCTCCAAATACCATCACGTTGGAGATTATTTTAATATATGAATTTTTGAGGATGCATTCAGTCCATAGTAGTGAGAAAAGACTCTGGTTAGTTGCCATAATGGAAGAGGATGGTCCTTCCCCAAGTTTCTACACTCAAACCAGTTAGTTCTCAGACTCAAAGCCACATAATTATGAGTTTATATTCCAAAATTACAAAACACAGGGGGAAATGCAACCACAAAATGACATGATGCACTTTTTATTGGTTGCCCTCCCTTATTCCTCAAGAGAAGAATAAGATTCAGAACTTCAGAGTTTGGAGTTATTGAATGTAGGGTATAAAATAAAAATCTGTGGAGAATGTCTACAGAAATAAAAGCAGAATTTTAAAAAGGAAGAAATATATGCTCTCCCCACCCACCTCCAAACAAAAACCTGTGCAAATTAGAAGCACACAAAAGAATTTAGTTTGCTTATTGATTCCTTACTTACTAACTTGAAAAATGATACAGAATAACAGAAATGTATATGACAGGAGAAAGGCAATAGAATTTCATAAAGTCCTTATGACATCTTCTTCCAATGTAAGGTGGTTTCATCTCCATTAAAAATCATTGTTTATTTTAGCCACCATCATGAATGAGCTAGGATTTCTGGATAACTTGCTGCAGCTTCTGTATCAGCACTTGCTGCTTCACCTGGCACTTTTCTGTTTTGTATAGGGCTTCTCTCCTTAAACTTCATGAATCAACCTCTTCTAGCTTCCAACTTTTCTTCTGCAGTTTCTTCATCTCTCTTTTCCTCCACAGATTTTGAAGAAAGTAGGGCCTTGCTCTGGATTAGGCTTTGGTTTAAGGGAATGTTGTGGCTGGTTTGAGATTCTAACCAGATAACTCAAACTTTTGTCATATTAGCAATAAGGCTGTTTCACTTTCTTATCATTAGTGTGTTCATTAGAGAGGCACTTTTATTTTCCTTCAAGACTTTTTCCTTCACATTCACAACTTGGCTACTGCTTGGCATAAGAGGACTAGCTGTTGATCTGTCTCAGCTTTCAGCATGCCTTCCTTAATAAGCTTAATCCTTTCTCACTTCTAATTTAAAGTGAGAAATGTGTATTTCTCCCTTCACATGAACATTTAGAGGTCATCGTGAGGTTACTAATTGGCCTAATTTCAATATTGTTGTGTCTCAGGAAAGAAAGAGGCCTGAGGACAGGGAGAGAGACATGGGGGAACAGCCAGTAGGTGCTAGAGCTAGAACACATACACATACATGTCACTGGAGTTCACCATCTTCGATGGGCATAGTTAGTGACACCACAAAACAGTGACACCACAAAACAATTACAATAGTCACATCAAAGATCACTGACCACAGATCACCACAACAAATATAAAGTAATAAAAATTTCAAATTTGCAAGAATTACCAAAAATGAGACACACAGAGATAAAGTGTGCAAATGCTATAGGAAAAATGGTGCTGATGGTCTTACTCCATAGAAGGTTGCCACAAACCTTCAATTTGTAAAAACCACAATATCTGCAAAGTGTAATAAAGTGAAACACAATAAAACAAGATATGTCCATATACCTAATAAGAACTTCAAAATACATGAGGCAAAGTTGATAAAATTAACTTTTTAATTAAAACCAATTAATTGTGTTTAAACCAATTTAATTAAATTGATTTTAATTAAAATTAAAATCAAAATTTTTTTTGATAAAAAAAAACACTGTAACAGAAATGAAGAATGTCTTTGATGAGGCTATTAATAGATGAGATATGACTAAGGAA